ACAACTAAACTGGAACAAAATGGGAAAGTGTGTGTGTGTGTGTGTGTGTGTGTGTGTGTGTGTGTAGGCATGCAGAAGGGTTTAGGAGAAGAGCATTCTCACCTCTCACCTTCTGTGTATTAAGTTAATGAGGCTGCTTGGTTTTAATATAAGCCTTGCACAGCTATTGACTTAAAACAGGTACATATTTAACTTCAGTAATGGAACATAATATTTTAAATTTTTTTTCAGTAGCTAAGAAGTTAAATATATCAATATAAAATATTTCCAATTTTTTTTGGAATTGAAAGTTGGTTTCAATTTATTTCTGAAGGATATTCAGTATTTGTATGTCAGAACTATTTAAACATTAAGATGTAACTTTGCAAATACCCAGATGGACATTTAATAAAAAAACTATAAAGTATTTATAAGAATAAAAGAGGTCAAAAATAAAACTATGAAAATATATATCATTTAAAAATCTAAACAATTTATTTTTAATCTTTCAGAAAAGCTGTAAATATAAAGCATGTGATTTTATCACTTCTTAAATTACCACTCTTTTCCTATTACATTACTTTTAGGATGTCATTTCCTAGAGAATATTCTTTTTTTTAAAAACGTATTCTTTATTACCAAGATGGTTTTAACCGGAGGTGCTGGTTTGGTAGTCCTTTTACATAGTTTGAAGCTGGTAAACCTTTGGGCCTTTTTTTAAGAGGTAACCTTGGTCATTTAATGATCCAATAAAATTTTCAAAATCAGCAACCTGGAATAAAATATCAAAAAACAGCCCATTAAGTAATATGCAAAAATATTATTTATAAAATGAATCTCTCAAACAGAAATATACAATTCTCAAGTTTCTTGGGCAAATAAATTTATTTGTATTTCCTCATAGAGCTTTCAATTCTATTATGAGAGTCTATTCGATTAGCTGAGCCAATAAAAAATAAAAACTCCAGTATCTAGAATATTTTTTTAAAAGATTTTATTCATTAGAGTGAGCAAGAGAGAGCACAAGCTGGGGGAGAGGCAGAGGGAGAGGGAGAAGCAGACTCCCCGCTGAGCAGGGAGCCTGATATGGGGCTTGATCCCAGGGCCCCGGGATCATGACCTGAGCCAAAGGCAGATGCTTAACTGACTGAACCACCCAGGCACCCCCAGAGTATTTTATATTTGTTTTAGATTAGCTTCAAAACAAAAATTAGACTAGCTTCAAATCTGAAATGAAGTGGGCAATTTTCCATATAAACTATGTGCTTAAAGTTGTATTACATCCAATTTCACTAAAACTTTTAAGTAGGTAGAGAAGGTGGAATCATGTCTATTTAACAAATGAGGAAACTGAGATTCAAAGATGTTAAGATGACTTGCCCACAAGGGATTGTCAGAGAAACATGGAAAGTGAGTCTTGCTAGGTTTCTCCCAACTGTCAAGATACTAAAAAAGAGGTAGGTATGTGTTTTAGATAGAAACTTTTTTTTTTTTAAAGCTCTGAGCAGCTCATTTCATAGCTTAAATAGAGAAAATAAGCTTATATTTTGAAATACTCCAAAAAAGCCTCTTCCATTTTTTATCCAAATCTTTTATTACTTTTTCAATCTCCATTTTATTTTTTTAATTTTAATTCCAGTAATAGGTGTTATGTTCATTTCAGGTGTACAATAGTGTGATTCAACAATTCCACATATTATTCAGTGTTCCTCATGATAAGTGTACTTTTGTTTAAAGATTTTGTAAAAAGATTTTTATCTTTTTCTAAAGATTTACTTCTTTGAGAGGGAACGCACATGTGATCAAGCACATATGGGGGTGGGTGGGACAGAGGGAAAGAGGGAGAGAGAATCTCAAGCAGACACACTCCTGCTGAGCGCAGAGCCCAACTCAGGGCTCAATCTCAACACCCTGAGATCATGGCCTGAGCCAAAATCAAGAGTCAGACGCTTAACCGACTGAGCCACCCAGGCACACCTAAAGATTTTATTTAAGTAATCTCTACACCCAGGTGTGGGGCTTGAACTTGCAATGCTGAGATCAAGACTTGCATGCCCCACTGACTGAGTCAACCAGGTATCCTTGATAAAGTGTACTTTTAATCCCCTTCATCTATTTCGCCCATCCCCTCCCCCACCTCCCTCTGGTAACCATCTGTTCTCTATAGTTAGGAGTTTGTTTTCGGTTTGTCTTTATCTCTGTTTTTGTTTTTTTTTTTAAGATTTTTATTTATTTATTTGAGAGAGAGATAGCAGAGAGGGAGAAGCAGACTTCGGGGCTCGATCCCAGGACCCTGAGATCATGACCCGAGCCGAAGGCAGATGCCCAACCGACTGAGCCACCCAGGCGCCCCTTGTTCGTTTGTTTCTAAAATTCCATATATGAGTGAAATCATATGGTATTTGCTTTCTCTGACTTATTTCACTTAGCATTATAATCTCTAGCTCCATCCATGTTGTTGCAAATGGCAAGATTTCATTCTTTTTTATGGCTAATATTCCAGTGTGTGTGTGTGTGTGTGTGTACTGCATCTTCTTTATCCATTCATCTATTGATGGACACTTAGGTTGCTTCCATAATAATGCTGCGATAAACACGAGTGCATATATTACTTTGAATTAGTGTTTTTGTATTCTTTGGGTAAGTGCACAGTAGTGTGATTGCTGGATCACTGGGTAATTCTATTTTTAATTTTTTGAGGAACTTTTGTACTATTTTCCACAGTCATCCAAATCTTTTGATATTTAAGAGTTCTATACTTAATAAAGACCTCATGAGACTGTCATTAAAAGATTAAGTATTTGGTTTATCATACCTGAATGTTTAGCTCTTTGGCAATCTGCCGAAGTTGTTGAAATTGAAATAAATTATTGTAAGTTCTTTCAGCAATGTTGTTGAGAGCAGAAATAAATCTTTTTGCTGTTGACCTGTTGCTCATTCCAGAACCGTGCTGGGATCGCTCAAAATCTAGGTTTCCAAATTCATCAGAATAAGTTCCTAGCATGCTTAATGAGAGAAGAGAAAAACAAAGTTACCCAGTGTGGCATGGCTATACAATTTTTGTCCCAGGTTATAAGAAGAAAAATGTGTAACCAACCATGAGGCTCATGTAGCAAAGATTTAAACATGTACTGATTGAATGGCCACCATGAAATTCACTATGGTATGAACTATGTGGAGATAAAAACATTGGTGGACACAGTTACCACTTTTAAGAAACTTATACATTTGAGAAGAGAAAAGCATAAGAATACAAAGTTGATAAACTATTATATAAATACCTGGAACATTCTTTTTGATTCATGAAAAAAAGAGATCCTAAACATACTAAATTTAGGCTTTAGAGGATAAGGATATGTTCCCAGCTCCTAGTGCAGCACCTGACAAATGAAAGATGTTTAAAAATACTGTGGGAGGGCTCCTGGGTGGCTCAGTTGGTTAAGCGACTGCCTTCGGCTCAGGTCATGATCCTGGAGTCCCGGGATCGAGTCCCACATCGGGCTCCCTGCTCAGCAGGGAGTCTGCTTCTCCCTCTGGCCCTCTTCCCTCTCGTGCTCTCTATCTCTCATTCTCTCTCTCTCAAATAAATAAATAAAATCTTAAAAAAAAATACTGTGGGAATGAACTAGAAGGATTCTGCTGATTTGCAGTAATGATGGCTAAATATGAAAGGATCCACCTATTATTTCCAGTTCTCTGTTGCTTCCTCTTATTTTCACAGTATCATCAAAGAAAGACTTATGTACTTTATAGATTTTAGCCAGAAGTCTGAAAACACCAGAGATACAATTAGCCACCATCTGTAATCCAGCTCTATGGCTGATTCCCTGCCTGTACAATGGAACAGATATAATCTCACAGCAAGGTTTACAGGCAAAATGTTATTTAAATCAGGAATTGGTTAATCAAATATAAATTGGTCACCTGCCAGGCAGCAGACTTGTAGCGGTGAATAAAACAGATGTAATTCCTGCCCTTAAGGAGCTTATAGCAATGAGTTTACAGGGTTACTAAAACATAGCTTCATTTTGTTCCCTGAATAATAAGAGCCTACATGAAAGAGAAAGCTCTACAAATAGGAATGAGTTATCCAAATAAGACTGTAATAAATAAACATAATATAATAAATATAATGAATGAGAGCTTCTCATAAGATACTTTTCAAAAATGCTTTAAGCCACTATGTTAATTATTAACAACTTATGTTTACCTTAATTATATTTAATCACCATATGCTATCCCATTTAGTCCAACAATCCTCTGATTTAGGGACTACTATTCCCATTTTACAGATGAAGAAGCAAAGTCTAGTAAGGGAAGTGACTTGCCAAAAGTTACACAGCCAATGAGTGGCATATCTGGAATCAATGTGAGCTATATGGCTTCAGATGTGAAGATTTATAAATATCTGAGCCAAAAAGAGAAAAAACTCAATTATCTTTTCTGAAAGAGAAAAAACTCAATTATCTTTTATCTTTGAAGGTGGTTCTATTCTCCTGTACTTCTAGTATATTTTTAATTTTAAAGAAAACTTATGTGAACTTTTTCCCATAACATTTAGTTTAATTCAAAGACTCAAGAGAGGGAAACTGAAATGGAAGAGTTAGTGAATGAAAAATGATTACTACGGTCAACTTTACTATCAATGCAGTACATTTACTGAGGGCATAGATCCTGGATCCTGAAAGTACACTGGTAAATACGACAGATAAGGTCCCTGCTCTTACAGAGTATAGACTAAGGTCAGAAAGCATGGTAAGTGTAACAAAACCAGATAATTCACAATCTAGTCTCAACGTGTTTAACTGGGTCTTGAAATATACTATGGAAATAACAGCAGGTAATTCCAACCACTAGAAATCAGCCTATTCTCGTTATCTGAAAATTTTTATGAAAGCCAGTAAAGCACATTCAATTCACGGAAACAAACTGGTAATCTCACATAGGTACTGTTTATGGTTAACAATGAGATATGTTTTTTCAGGAGCGCAGAAGTAAACTGACAGCCGAAAGCTAATTCAGAGTTACCAGCAAGGCAATTTTGAGAAGCAGTAGAAACAAAGTTTTACAAGAAATGCTAAAGAGCTCCTCTTGGATGGAAAAGTACATGTAAACACTGTCTGACATGAAGATTCAAACATGCAGAACCAATTATAAATGAGCAATATACCATTTTTATTGAAAACGTTTAAAGAGTAATTTATCTTAAGTGTAACACTCAGATATGAGAACAAATCAGACCAGTGGACTTATTGTGGAGAAATACCAGATAGCTGCTTGAGGCAATATCTGGGGTCTGAGGCCTATGGAAACTAAGTAAGGGTAAAGCCTCAAAAACAATGCTACAGGTAAGACACGGTGACAGGGTAATTTGATCCTTGATTTGCTCGATAGCCAAAAGTCTATGAAGTAGAAGCACACGACACTGTTCAGTAGAGCCAGGCACCAGAAGGCCCAAAGGGTGAGAGATCATTAAATGGAAAAGGAAATGTTAGCTCCACCCCCACAGGTGGAGAGTTTTAGAGCAAGATGCTCAGAAAGACTGTAAACAAAGAGGCAACTTTTTGTCATTAAACGAGAAATCCCTACTGTTGGCCCTCATTTTTAATTGGGAAAAAAAGTCCGAACCCAGATTTTTTGGAATTTTGGTTAGATTCACTGACTTAGTTTTCTAGTGAAAAAAGGATCTCTGTTAGGGCAAGCTCTAGGTTTCTTACTGGTCTGGTCTACCAGAAGTCAGGCAGACAACTGGTATTTGTGGCCATTCCTCTATGTCACGTGCTAGTACACTGAACCTCTCGCAGCACGTTGTAGGAGACAGTCTAGTAATTCCTAGACTATCTGGTTGCTTACAAATGGCAACTGGAGAGTCTCCAATATAATGAAGTCAATTGGAGAGGGAATGAAGCCAGCTTGGTAAAAATTTCATCTACAAGACCCCTCAAACCCAGTACTGAATCATGTAAAAGAGAAAAGGACAGTCTAAACACTCTGTAATATTAAACCAATACAACAGACAAAAGATAATATGTTAGGAATTGGTCGAAAGGGTTACTAGTCAGTAAGTACTAATGATTTTACCCATTATGAAGTTGTTGCTTTTGAGCGTTCTCAAAATATGTATTTTTTTTTTTAAGATTTTATTTATTTGACAGAGAGAGACACAGTGAGAGAGGGAACACGAGCAGGGGGAGTGGGAGAGGGAGAAGCAGGCCAGGGAGCCCAATGCAGGGCTTGATCCCAGGACCCTGAGATCATGACCTGAGCCGAAGGCAGACGCCTAATGACTAAGCCACCCAGGCGCCCCAAAATATGTATTTTTGAATTGATTTTAGAACTATGTGAATGTATTACCCATTCAAAAAAACATTTTTAATATTATTTACACAAATATTTTATTTTTTTAAAGATTTTATTTATTTATTTATTTAAAGATTTTATTTATTCATTTGCGAGACAGAGAACAAGCAGGGCGAGAGGCAGAGGGAGAGGGAGAAGCAGACTCCGCTGAGCAAGGAGCCCCATGCGGGACTCGATCCCAGGACCCTGGGATCATGACCTGAGCCGAAGGCAGATGCTTAACCATCTGAGTCACCCAGGCGCCCTTTATTTATTTATTTGACAGAGACAGAGACAGTGAGAGAGGGAACACAAGCAGGGGGAGTGGGAGAGGGAGAAGCAGGCTTCCCGCCAAGCAGGGAGCCCGACGCAGGGCTCGATCCCAGAACCCTGGGATCATGACCTGAGCCGAAGGCAGACGACTAATGACTGAGCCACCCAGGCGCCCCTACACAAATATTTTAAACCAAGAAAATATATAGTTTGTTCAGAGAATCAAATGGGCAAGGTAAAAATAATTTTGCTTGGCCTAATATATAATTTGAGACGAAAAGATAACTGGTATTTCATTTAAAACAGCATTTAAAATTTAATCTTACCTATATTTCATAACTTCAACTATATCGTCAGCATCTTCTTTGGTTGCTTCCTCTCTTAATTCCAACCTTGCTCGGGCCTTTGAAAGAAAACAAGCATTTTTAGATAACAAAAGTAAGTATATTTACATAGTTTGAGCAGGATATAATATGTTGAAGCCTATTTCATTTATTCATTTTACACAAAAACTGATTTTGGGGGGAGGGAGACTAATATGAGAAGTAAGAATAAAATTATCTGAAAACTTGAGTATGAAAACACGCATTTAAAATATGGATGAAAACCTATTTGTATCTACTAACATATCTCTTTCTGAATGTTCATTTCAGAAAATTTGATTTTGAAATACACTTGGTTTTTCTTTGCCTTTTACTTTCAGGAGATCATGCCTAACCAATTTGTTAAAACAACATAGAAGGATAATCTGATTTTAAACGCAAAAAGCCCAAACTCCAGCTAATTTTAACTGCCAGAGTTCTCTTAGCATTCCAAACCTGTGAATAAATGTTACTGCTGTTAGAAAAATAGGTACTACCGTTATGGACCTGTCCTGTATCAAATCAAATACTGACACATTCCATGTTTCCATATATTCAACTTAAAATCTTAGACTCCTTAATTAACCTAACCACTTGCCACACTCCAGGAGTCTTAAATGTCAATAAAAGGGGGGGGGGGGGTTGCATGGTATGTAACTGGTCCTGTGCCTAGAAAGAAGTGGCTATACTTTGATTGGTTATGATACAGATATGACCAAACATTTTAAAAAATTTTATACATCCATTTATAATGTCTCTTAGTTGGAAGAAAAATCAATTATGCAGGAAACTGAGAGAAATCATATCACCTCTTGCCCCCATTTATAAGTCAAAAAAGCATGAACTTAAAATAAACCTCTGTTAGACGAATCAGAGATTCCAGCTGTCTAGTGGTGATGGGTGAGCTATTTAACCGCTGGCTCTGTTTCCGAAGCTCAAGGTAAAAATCTTGAAGAATCTGAGCAGCTTCTGTGGATAGCCTTGGATAGACATACTGCCGAGCATAACCAATGTACTTTCTCAACAGCTGGTGGGGAATTAGATCTATTGTTTCTCCAGGAACTACCTAAAGCATGATAAAAAGGCCCAAGATTATAAGGATAGCAAATAAAATCTTTCTGTTAAAATAACTTGTTGAGATACATAAAAAATTCTAAAAGACTTTCCAAATAAGCCAAACACTGTAGTTCTAGCTCTGAGTATAGTTGGCTTAGATTATTTCAAATGAAGTTTACTACTATTGTAATATAAAAGGTTTTGGCATGAAAGTGATATACTACTGCTCTACAATAAGCAACATACTGAACTCTGACATTCAAACAGAACGGAAATGAATGACTAAGAAAGAAGCCTACCTTTAATCTTTCTGATAATGGTTTATCAGACACCACTTCAAGTACAGAAGTATTTGAATCCTGACTATTTATGCGAGCTACGGTGGCACTGCTAACAGTTCTCTGCTTTCCCGCTCTTATTGCAATCACATGTTCAGAGAGTAAGTGATCATGATCCTCATTTGGGGTGTCTAACAGGATAAAGACCAAATCAAATCGGGACAGCAGGGCGCTTCCCATTCTAAGAGGCATAAAAGAAGAAACAATGATTGGAATCAAAACAAATAGAAAACCATTTACTCACTTGTTTACTATTCAAGATCCATTTAGAACTTTAAAAAAATATTAAAAAAATAAAGTTTAAGTCACAAGCAGTAACTTTTGGATTTGATACATGCACCAACTCTGGAGAGACACCCTTCAACATGTAAACAAGCCATGTATGTACCTACTTTTGGTAGGTTGAGGACAAGGCCCCTTCTCACACAATCTTTTTTTTTTTTTTTAATTTTTATTTGTCAGAAGAGAGAGGAGAGAGCACAAACAGGAAGCTGCCAGCAGAGGGAGAAGCAGGCTCCCCACTGAGCAAGGAGCCCAATGCGGGACTCAATCCCAGGACCCCAGGATCATGACCAGAGCCGAAGGCAGACGCTTAACCCTACCTGATGGTGAGCTTCGCAATGACTTTGATTTTTAAAACACATGCTATGTGATTCACCAGAGGTTATCTAGTTGGGTGGTTTTAATTTTTTTATGTTTTCTCTCACCAAAACAGAGTCTCTCAATGCATCTATGATCACTTTAAAAAGCCCACTTTTTCTTAAAAGTCATTATAATCGAGGTGCCTGGGTGGTTCAGTCAAGCATCCACCTTGATTTCAGCTTAGGTCATGATTTCAGGTTGTGAGATCAAGCCCCGTGTCAGGCTCCATGCTGGGCATGGAGCTTGCTTACTATTCTCTCTCCCTTTTCCCTGCCCCCTCTCTCTCTCTCAAAAAAAAAAGTCATTATAATCATTATAATAAAGATGCTGTGTTCTACTTAGTCATCTTCCCTGATCCCACCAATCAGATAGTCCTTCTGAGACAAGAAAACTAAAATCCAGAGTGATTAAAAAATTTGGCCAAGGTCCCAAAGCAGGTTTGTGTACCTCTAAAAACCAGAATCCAAGTCCTTGTTCAATAGGATCTTTCTGATTTTCCCAATAAAACACTTTTTCATTTTACTAAGAAAAACTAATAGATTGACTTTTTTGGTGGTGGTCGCATAGCATCTCCAAGTACAATTGTATATTTTGCTATGTATCATTTTTATAGTAAAGGTACACATTATCATCAAACATTAGGAAATTTTTTTTTCCTCTAGAATTTAAGCTTCCAGTTTTTCACATGAGGCATTCTTTTGTCTTTTTCTCACTTCTGCATCATTTCAATCTATTTCCCCCTTTCTATACCTTTTGTCCAACCTATACAGAACAAATTAGAAGAAAAAGCATACACACATACAAATACAAACTGTTTTTGGAAGTGGGATCATATCCCATTTACAGCAAAGCACAGAGCTATCAGCACATACAGAGCTACTTCCATTTTTATAATTGCTACTTTCCACTCTACAGCCTTGCCATAGTTTAACCACTTCCATATCAAAGGGCATTTTAAGTTGTTTCCAATTTTTGGTTGTGATAAATAATGCCATCATACCCAAACTGTAAATACATCTCTGTGCATTTGTGTGACTATTTCTGTGGGTATGATTCCTAAAAGTAGAACTTGCTACAACAAATCGAATGTACATTTAAAATACCGATAAACAGGGGCACCTAGGTGGCTCATTCGGTTAAGTGTCCGACTCTTGATTTTGGCTCAGGTCATGATCTCAGGGTTGTGAAATCGAGCCGAGTCAGGCTCCACACTGGGCATGGAGTCTGCTTGAGATCTCTCTCTCTCCTCCTCCCTTTGCACCCCCCACCACTTGCTCGTGCTTGCTCTCTCAAAAAAAATAGTAATAAATATGCCAGTTGTCCTTCAGTATGTTAACTTGAATATGTGAGAACCCATTTCCCCAACCCTTTGCCAATAATGATTATTAATATTTAAAATGTTTGCCAATCTAATAGCTATCAATGATACTTCACTGTTTTAATTTGTAGTGCTCAAACATGTTTTTGTACATTTACTGGAACTTATCATTTCTGTGAACCATCATGTCCTCGGTTATCTTTTTCTTAGTGATTTATAAGGCTTCAATATACTAAAGGTATAAATATCTAAAGAGACTTACTTTAAATTCTCAGAAACTGTTTTGGCTTTATTGTAGTGTCCTCCAACTGGATTTGCAGCAGCAATGATGGATGTTCTAGCAGGGAGGCTACAAACCATGCCAGCCTTAGCAAGACTAATACTTTGCTGTTCCATAGCTTCTAACAAGGCTTGATGTTGATTCCCCATCTTATCAAATTCATCTATTCCACAAATACCTACAATCACAGTAAAATAATACAGAAAAAGCTTTCTTTGGTCAAGTTCCAAATCTTACAGGATGGAAACTGTTTCACCATAAAGAATTATCTGTAATTCGGGGCGCCTGTGTGGCTCAGTCGACTGTTAAGCGTCTGCCTTCGGCTCAGGTCATGATCTCAGGGTCCTGGGATCGAGTCCCGCATCGGGCTCCCTGCTCAGGGAGAAGCCTGCTTCTCCCTCTCCCACTCCCCCTGCTTGTGTTCCTATTCTCACTCTCTCTGTCAAATAAATAAAATTTAAAAAAAAAAAAGCTTTAAAAAAAAGAATTATTTGTAGTTATTTCCAGCAGTTAAAATTATAAAATGTCATATGGTTGAGAATGTGTATTTGTTTTACAGCAGATAAAACACTTGTCTTAACTTTTATGGAGTATTTTCTCATTCAGCATTTTCTGTAGGCAAGGCACTGTGCTGTGAGGGCTATAAAAATGAAAATAGGAGAGTGACCCTCAAAAAGCTTGAAGACTTACATTCAAACAGGTGAGATAAGATATATACATATTCAAAAGATAGTGTATCTCAGCAATTACAAGAGATAGGCATAATTACCTAAGATCAGTTTTCTGAGTAAGGAGAGGACAGTTGAGCAAAAACTTCAAGGTGGAAAGGTAACAAGCCTTGCAGACCTGTCTGGGGTAAGGGAAGCATGAGTACAAAAGCCTACTGCAGGAATGTGACGTGCCTGGAGTGCTGGCGGCGTCCCAGGTATAGCAAGAAGGCCACTGTAGCCGGAGAATAAGAGGGGAATAGTAGATAATGAGGCAAAAGAGGTGATGAAAAGGCCAGAATGTGAATAGCCCTGGACCACTGTCAAGCCTTGAGCTTTCACTCTGAGTGAGATAGGGAGCCACTGGAGGGTTCTAAGGAGAATAACTTGATCTGAGTTTTAACGGGATCGCTCTGCCTTGTTAAGAACAGGAAGGGCAAGGGTGGTCACACGCATTCCAACTATGAGATCACACTACTAATCCATGTAAGAGATGATAGCAGCACTGGAAGAGTCTGGATGCTGGATATATATGGAAGGTAGAGCCCACAATATTTGTTGATAGACTGGATATGGGGTATGAGCAAAAGTCAAGGATGACTGCACATTTTCTGATTTGAGCAAACAGAAGAATGGAATTATCACTGACTGAGATGGGAAAGACTGTAATAGGTTTGAAGGGGAACATCAGGATTTCAGCTTAGGACATGTTAAGTTTGAAGAAGTTATGGAAATGCTGCAATAACAGGCAATAAGAAATATGTGCCTAGAGTTTAAAGAAGATATATAAATTTGGAAATTTTCAGCAAATAATGTACGCAAAGCCATGAGACTAGATAAGATCATCAAGAAGGTAAACATAGACTAAGAAAAAAAAGGTACATTAACGAAGCATCTGGAGGTGCCAACCAGTTAAGGTTGGGGAGATAAAGAACAAGACTGAGAAGGAACAGTCAATGAAATAAGAAGAAAACCAGAAGAGTGTAATGTCCTGGAAACCAAGGAGGTAAAGTATCAAGGAAGAGAGGGGGCAGGTGGGGTTACTGAGAGGATCTGGATTCAGAAATGTGGAGGTCACTGGGAAACAAAGGAATGAATGACCTTGACTGGAATCTGGGCACTGCCTGACACATGCATAGGAACATGTTTTTCAATAGGGTTAAAGCATCACCATGAGAAACTTAGGTAGCAAAGCTTAGTTAGAGATCCCTTCTTGCTGAGCCTTCCAACTGGATTTCTTATAAACTATCAATCAAATCCTGAAAAACATCCAATGAGATGGGTTAAAATACAGCAAAACTTCTAATTATAAAGTAATAGCTCTAAATTCTTATTTTAAGTCCTCAGAGTAAAAGGATAACATTCACCTTATTTTCAGTTCCAAGGCATCTAGATCTATTCTGGGCTAAGTAATAGTAATGCATTCAGCAAGTATTTACTGTGCACCTATGTATTGGGCAATGTGAATATGGCAGTTAACAGGATGACCAAATCCTCCCCCTTAATGTGAGGTTTTAAAACAGGCTTTAAACAAATGATCACAAATATGATGGTTGTTATGAAATGGGAAGTGCAAGAAGCAATCTATACCTATTTGACTTGATTAATTTTTATATATAATTGTGTCTGTAGCAAGAGTCTGAAAATGAATGATAGTAAGTACCAGTTTCAGTTCTGTAGTATAAACTGTATTTCGAGTTATTTTTTCTGGCACTCATTCTCAACTCACTGGTTGATATAGTCCTGTCCAAATGCCTCTTGAACAGAATGTAAAGAAATTAACTGGAAAGGAAAAGGCTTAAAAAAAATCCCCAAAGCTCCAGTAGACCTAGAATAATGCCTTTAAAACCTTTGGCTCGATTTAAAAATAGAAGCTGTAATTAGGGAAATTAAATGTTGTAAACAGTGGAGAGTTTGGTCTCTCACCTTGATCGCCAAGTACAAGAGCACCCGCTTCCAAAGCAAAATCTCCAGAGGAACTATCTTTTGAAAGAGTTACAGTCAAACCAGAGGCAGTTGTGGTATTACCACAAACATACACACCACGTGGAGCAACGTTGCATACTGCCTAAGGAAACAAAAAGTTTAAAAGAATCAGCCAGTGGTGTCTGGGTGGCGCAGTTGAGCGTCGGGCTCTTGGTTTCGGCTCAGATGGCGATCTCAGGGTCGTGAGATTGGGCCCTGCATCGGCCTGCGCGCTGGGCATGGAGTCTGGTTGGGATTCTCTCTCCGTCTCCCTTTGGCCCTCACCCACCGCGTGCTCTCTCTCTCTCAAGTCTTTAAAAAAAAAATTTTTTAAAAATCAGATAAAGTAAAAGGGAAAAAATATCTAATAGTGACTGCTCACAAATATCAGCTATATGCCAAGTATTCTTCTAATAGCTTTATTGTACAATCTTTATTACCACAGTTAATAGAAAGGTATTATTACACCCCCATTTTGTGACATAGAAAACCAAGGCCTGCAGAGAGTAACTCACATTGCTATGAAGGTGTGAAGTGAGGATTCAGTTAAACCCAGGCAGCCTGCCTCTGATGTCTACAGTCATGTGAACACTACACAGTTTCAGTTTATGCTTCATTTTCAAGTTCAAACAGAAAAAGCATGAGGGCCAATTTTAATTTCAAAGGCTTCAATACTTCTTTATACAGCAGGTAATAAAACGGCTCAATAATGCTCACCTTGTGAGTAAACAAGCTATGGCAGGTCAGAAAAGTGGTTAAATAGCACAAGAATTAAAAGCATGGACCTCCAGAGTCAGGCAGACCTGTTTAAATCTTGCTTTACCGTGTACTGGCTACGCTGCTCTCAGATCTCTCTCAGCCTCACCTTCCTTATGTTTTGTCACTTATATCCCCGAGGAGTAAGTGAGATCATGTATGTAAGGCACTTATCTGGTACCTGGCACACACACCCAATGCTAGGCCATTGTGTATGCTATGCACTGCACAACCGCAGGAGGCAGTACTCACGCTGCTATGTCGATAATGCACGCTGGACATGTGCAGTGCCCAACCCAAGTGACCCTATGGTGTCGCGCCTATAAAAAGTAGCTATCATCATTTTTGTTATGTGTAATTCCTTATTCGTCTAGGAGGATGATGATGGCTTACTAAAATGGTCAGAGGAAAATAGGATTACAAATGTAAAGTAGGGGTGCCTGGGTGGCTCAGGTCATGATCCCATGGTCCTGGGATCAAGCCCCGCACCGGGCTCCCTGCTCAGCGGGAAGCCTGCTTCTCCCTCTCCCACTCCCCCTGCTTGTGTTTCCTCTCTCATTGTCTCTCTCTCTGTCAAAAAATAAATAAAATCTTTAAAAAAAAATGTAGGGGTGCCTGGGTGGCTCAGTTGGTTAGGCAACTGCCTTCAGCTCAGGTCATAATCCTGGAGTCCTGGGATCGAGTCCCACATTGGGCTCCCTGCTCAGCAGGGAGTCTGCTTCTCCCTCTGACCCTCCTCCCTCTCATGCTCTCTGTCTCTCATTCTCTCTCTCAAATAGATAAATAAAATCTTAAAAAAAAAATGTAAAGTAAACAATTCATAACCGTTAGTGTTAACCTAATTTTTAAAAAACTTTGGTTTAGCAGGGCTGGAAGACTTACATACAATATACTCCACTGTTTACAACATTTAATTTCCACTAATATTACAGTTTCTATTTTTAAATTAAGTTAAATGGCATTATTCCAGGTCTAAAAAACATGAAAAACTGCCAGTGTCATTTCTCGGTATTAAATTTTTTTCAGTACCATTAAATGTATTTTGAAACCATTATCTGCCAAGACCTATTTCTTAAATTAAAAAGGAGTAAGAGAGAGGTATCTGGGTGGCTCAGTCGGTTGGGCGTCTGTCTCTTGATTTTTGGCTCGGGTCATGATCTAGGGGGTCGTGGGATCAAGCCCCACGTCAGGCACTGCACTTGGAGGGGAGTCTGCTTGGGATTCTCTTTCTCCCTCTCCCTCTTCCTCTCCCCCTCCCCCCTGTGCTAGCAGGTGCACAGGTGCACTCTCCTCTCTCAAATTTTTTTTTAAACTTTTCTTTTTAAAATCTCATTAATTTATTTGAGACAGTGAGCGAGAGAGAGCATGATCGGGGGAGGGGCAGAGGTAGAAGGAGAAGCAGATTCCCCACTCAGCAGGGAGCCCAATGTAGGACTGATCCCCGGACCCTGAGATCATGACCTGAGCTGAAGGCAGACACTTAACTGACTGAGCCACCCAAGCACTCCTAAATAAATAAATCTTAAAAAAAAGAGAGAGAAAAATAGAAGTTTTATACACCATAAGCAAAATGTATAAATTATAAGATTTATTTGTATAGATAATCAGACACTGTGGAGGTTAAACCAGGCTTCTACCTATAAATACACTAATTCAAGAGTCACACACATATACAATGATATAAAAGGCAGAAAATAAAGCGGTAACAATTCAGGTCCCCACATGTACCGTCTACATGCACAGTTCGGCTAAGTATCTTGCTTTCATTTTTATAATCAACTGTTTCTGCTACAACTGGGCGCTCTGTGGCTCAGTTGTCAGGCTTGTAGTAAGGGCTCAGAACAGAATTTTTTTTTTTTTTAAAGTGGACCCCACTGGTTCAAAGGAACATGGAAACATAGATGAAATGTCAGATTAGGAATTAAAATGATGACTGGTTTAACAATCAAGCATAGGGGATAAATAATGACTCTGACGTGAAAGACAGTGGGTTTATAATGCAATGATGAGGTCAAAGCGGTTCTCAATCCTGGCTGCACAGCACAATCCCCTGTGGAAGGTTGTACACACACAGACACTAGAATCCTAATCCAGAGGCTCTTAATTCAGTTGGACTAGGACAGGCCCCAGGATTTTCAGAGTTCCAAAGATGATTCTGATATGCAGCCAGAGTTCCAACCCCTGAACAAAGACTCAGTAGCCACAGGACTACAACTTACCAAGGACCCCTGGTCTGGTCACATTTTTCCACACTGGGGGTGGTAGGAAGGAATGGGACACATGGGCATTCTCAGAAAGGATATTATGACTGGCTTACCAGGTGTCACTCCCAGGAAACCACAAGTATTCCAACAAGCAGAACCTTCTAGAGCCATCATAAGCCCTGGTGGGGAGAACCACTAGGCTCTGACTGGCAGAGGCAGAATCTTCTTGGGCACCAACAAGAAGTTGGCCACAGAAGTTGCCTTGCTTTAGAGAGAAGCAGTGGAGATGCACACAGACTGATCTCTTACCTTTATCAGACTATTCCTATAGCTCAATACACTTTATATAGTGTGAAGAGAGAATGCATGACTCTGCTTCCCTGCTCTTTACTTTCTCAAACTATTCTGGTCATAGGTGAAGTCACAACAAAAAAGACTAGCAAAGCTGATACCAAAAAAAAAAAAGGGGGGGGTTAGAGAAATGGCTGACATTTCACAATAGTTGACATCTCAACAGACCACCATGTCTGCACAGCCTGTGTAATCTCTTTGGAAGGATGGCCAGACAGAAGTGATGTATTACTCACACAAACCCCAATTCACTTTTACCACCAGACCAACTATATCCTCTGGCACACAAATACTACAAGCTTTGAGAAAATTCACTTGCAAATCAGTCATACACTTCATCAGGAATACATCAAATACTTGATGACTGATTTCCTACCTGTAGCATCTGACTCTTTCCCAAGCCTGGATCTCCAACAACAAGGACATGTGGATCTCCTCGAATCGGAATTCTGTTTTTGTCATCTGCATATTTTTGGCTTCCTCCAAAGAGTGCTAATGCCAAGCCTGCTTTAACAAGCTCAAGTGTGAAAGAAGAGGGAGGGGGAGAAAAACCTCAAAACTGAGAAAGACACAAAGATGACTAGCAAAAAAGGGATGCTTCTCCTTCTATATTTACATTTACTTGAGAATTTTTTTTAAAAGCATGATTGAATTTTACTTTTTTTCCCCCTAAGGAAATTAACTTAAAATACAAACTTCTGTAATGTAAATGATTAAAAGCAAAAACTAGGAAGCACATAAAATCAAAGAAGTATCTTTAAAGTCACTGAATAAAGACCTACTTTGCAAGGCATGAATCTACTCCACAAAACTGGGGAATACTTGCTAGTTTCCGCTTTAACACTTAGTGCCCAAAGTCACTTTAAAGGTACCTCATTCCCATTAGCTCAAATTAGTAAGCATCTTGTTCATACAAGGAGCTGTGGTTTGCCTTTCACATCATTCATTTATGGAGAACAATGACATACTAAAATACAAATAAATGACTAACAAAAATTAGCTATTTTTTGCCAACTTTATATATTTTTGGGTAAAGATGAAGTACTTACTTCATGACCAAAAATGACAGGGCAAAGTGAGCTGAAAAACAGAATACAACTTATAAATTCTTATTTATGCTTCATCAATCTATTACAAGATCTACTTTACAACTTGCTTAACTTGCTTTAGCATCAAGAAAAAGGCAAACATAAAATTTACATCCCTCAAACAACTCAAAACATTTTATTCAAACAGTAAGTTTCTCAAAATTCTTGGTTAATTCATAAAGGGAAGAATGCTTTAAAAATTGTACCTGTGTAAGGGAGACAAAACTTGTAAAGCATTTTATTTATTTTTTTGAAAGAGAGAGTAAGTGAGCTGGGGCAGGGAGGGTCAGAGAAGAGGGAGAGAGAATCTCAAGCAGGCTCCAAACCCAACGTGGGCTCGATCTCAGGACCCTGAGATTATGACCTGAGCCAAAATCAAGAGTTGACTGATTGAGCTACCCAGGTGCCCCTTTGCAAAGCATTTTAAGTAACTAAATATAGTGTTGATATATCACCAGCTGGTGATCTCATAATCATGGTCTTCTACTTTAGGCACCATACACTGACTACCACCCCTTCTCACTCCCCCATTCCCTTACCAGTATTTCGGGGGATCACCTCCCAAATAAATGCTTACCCAAATCGTTGCTTCTTAAGAAACCTAAACTAAAACATAACCTTCCACTGTCTTCTCCATTCTCCTTTCATGGTCCTCCACTTGTTATTCTAGCAAAGGTGAACAAACTTTTTCTTAAAAGGCCAGAATAAAAGGCCTCATATATCTTTTCAGTTTTACCGTCTGGGTCACAACTACTCAACTTGTGTGAAAGCAATTATGTGATGAATGGATGGCACTGTGTTCAAATAAAATTTTATTTATAAAACCAGGCAGCCTGACTAATTTGCCAACCCCTACAAGATTAACAAATGGACAACCATGAAAAATTCTAGTTTTAATGTTGAAATCACAAATACAGAACTAAAGGGTAAAAGCAACCTGTGAGAAGAAAACCTTTCTAGTATGGCAGAAAGACCACTGCAAAGGTTCATTCTTATTCAAAATGGGTAAGAGGAACCAATCAAAGAGGTGTTTTGATCTTCAACCAAGTGGCTCCTCCCCACCTGCTCACAGCCCACTCACCACACTGTCCCTGATCCACAGATTACACCCTCACTCTAGCTCAGAGTACCCCTTCTCCCAGGGTAGGTCTGGATGGCTATCTATTCAGAAGTCTCTGAGGGTTTAAGGACAAAGACCCCCTGAGGAACTCTATACTTTTCTCAGCTGACTATAACATATTAAAGGCAGAAAGAGTCAAATTCTCTTAGTGCCCTAAGCCTAACTAAGGAAAACACAACATGGTTAAGTGTTCTTTTTTTTTTTTTTTTTAAGATTTTATTTCTTTGTCAGAGACAGAGTACAAGCAGGGGGAGCAGCAGGCGGAGAAGCAGGCTCCCTGCTGAGCAGGGAGCCCGATGCAGGACTTGATCCCAGGACCCCTGGATCATGACCTGAGCCAAAGGCAGATGCTTAATCGTCTGAGCCACCCAGACGTCCCCAGGGTTAAGTGTTCTAATACAACACATTTCAAAACCTCAGTCTTTACTACTGTTAGGTACATCTATTTTTCGGTCTCTCTCGTTTTCCTCTATTTCTTCAAAATTACCCAAAAAATTGTTTAAAAGTTTTTAAAATAACAGCATGCTGTGTTAATTATGTTAAATACATTATAAAATTTCATGTAATCCTTGGAACAATCTGAGGCAGGAATTATTTCTATTTTAAGATGAGAAAAATGAAGGAGGTAATAAGTAACATGCTTCCAACCATACTGGAAGTGCTTGAAGTGGGATTCTAACTTAGATTTAGTGAAAATTAAAAACAAAAAAACTAAAAAAAAAACAGCTCTTAACCATGAAAGCAAAAATTGCCTCTACTTTGCTTCTTCTCTACTGCATGACAATAACGTGGAAATAAAAGAGTATTATGAAATACTGACTTCCATGTGAATCTCTTGCTCTCTTTTTTAATATTTTATTTATTTATTTGTCAGAGAGAAAGAGAGAGAGCACAAGCAGGGGGAGTGGCAGGCAGAGGGAGAAGCAGGCTCCCCACTGAGCAAGGAGCCCGACGTGGGACTCATCCCAGGACCCTGGGATCATGACCTGAGCTGAAAGTAGATGCTTAACCAACTGAGCCACCCAGGCGTCCCTCTCTTTCTTGCTCTTTAAAAGTAAACAACCTCTTGGGGCGCCTGGGTGGCTCAGTCCTTAAGCGTCTGCCTTCGGCTCGGGTCATGATCCCAGGGTCCTGGGATCGAGCCCCGCATCGGGCTCCCTGCTCGGCGGGAGGCCTGCTTCTCCCTCTCCCACTCCCCCTGCTTGTGTTCCCTCTCTCGCTGTGTCTTTCTCTGTCAAATAAATAAATAAAATCTTTAAAAAAAAAAAATAAAAGTAAACAACCTCCTACATACAACCAATTGAAATGACTGGAATTCACAGTCCCGTCACTACTTCTGCTGAGTAACCAACTTCAATTGTGAGATAGTAAATTTTCTTTATGGATTAAACTAGAGATCAACAAACTTTTCCATAGAGGTACAGACAGTAAATATCTGTGAGCCATTCCCTGTTGCAACTACTCAGTTCTACCACTGCAGCTGGAAAGGAACAGTCACTATATAAATGAATGATTATGGCAGTGTTCCAGTAAGTTTATTTACAGGAAGTGAAATCTGAATTTTATGTAATTCTGTGTGTCATTTAATAGTCTTTTTTTTTCCAGCCATTAAAAAATGTAAAAACCATTCTTAGCTTATGGGCCATATAAAAATGGGCAGTTAGTTGGATTTGACCTGTGAACTGTAATTTGCAACCATTTTGACTAGTTTTTGTTACTTGTAGCCAAGAGCACTGCATATACATAGTAAAACTTCAGATAATCTCATACATACTTGACAATGAGTTTAAACAGGTTTTCTTCAGCTTGAATCTCTTGGATGGCATAAAGGTCTTTAAGTGAGAACTCCATCAATGCTCCATGCTTACACCCATCCTCAGAAGTCTTTGTTTTCTGTCCTTTGCTATTACTAACAGAATTTGCTTCAATGTACAAAAGGAACATGCATTTGTCATTCCTATTGCGAGAACCTGTAAATTTCAAAGTATGAAATACAGTAATTGGTATTTCATTTTCTCTACAAAGATTCGAATGGAATGAAAAACAAAGGCACAATAAGCTACAAATAAACCTTTATTTTAAAGGAAAAGTTTCACCCATGTAAGAAACAAGGAATTCCCTTATTAGTGGAGATTCAAAAGAACCTTGAAAGAAGATGAATGCTGACAAATTATTAAGAAACAATCAAAATGAGAAAAGAGTTATATAATACCTTCTTCAGCATTTGAGACTTTGACAACTCCAGTAATAGTCACTGTGTCTCCTGGGACACAGCTATCCACAAGATCGTGAACAAGTTCACACTCTATCGTTCGTGGAATCCGACCTGCTTCTCGCTGATCATCAGACATTAGCTCCTGGATTCTAAAAAGTTAAACAATTTTCAATCAGTACATATACTGACTTTAATTTCTTCAACATGTCAACTATTCAGGATCCACAAGGTACTGAGGAAGATAAAGGGCAGATCAGTGTAAAAAAAAAAAAAAAAAGTTCAATGGTGTATCTAATATTACTTCAGCAGTTTGCCATTAAGAATGGCAGGATGAGCATATATGCTTGCCTGCCCCTCTCCAAATGTCCACCAAAATGGTAGTCACCAAATAAGTAAAGAGAAGTTCTAGGGTGTGCAGAGGTGTTATCGATAAACAAGAGCTCTTGAAATTTTAGAAAACAGCAAGTGATGAATAAAACAAAATAAAGTCCAAAATACACACAGGAAAAAGTTACAAGGAATTAAAGGAAGTGGGAAAGTATTGATGAATAAAACAAAATAAAGTCCAAAATACACACAGGAAAAAGTTACAAGGATCTAAGAGAAGTGGGAGCCTTCTAGGTTGGAGTTGGCAGGAATGAAAAGTAGGGAATTCCTTGTTTCTTACATAGATGAAACTTTTCCTCCTTTCAGTAGATGGCTAAAAGGAAACAGGATAATCAACTAAAGACAAGTCACAGAATAGCTGTTCAGAATTCTTTAGTAGGTGGGTGGATAGGCGGGTAGGTGAAAAATGAGGGCATTCCAGCAAACCAGGTTTTACTGTTTAACAAAAACCAGAGCACTGTTCTAGAGAAATGGATCCATCCACTGTGAGGGGAGCTACAGCATCTAATGAGGGTATCGGAGCTCCAAAATAAAGCCTCCTCATTCTGGCATCCAAGGAGCCCAACTCCAATTCAAAACATACTCATATAGCAAAATTTGATAGTCAAAACCTCTACCTTCCAAAAAGCTAAGAGTTTTTGAGAAAATCTTACCATCATAAAACAAGAATAAGCGGCTATAAAAAGGTAACTATGGGAAAACAAATGAGATCAGGAAAATTAAAAATATGTATATAAAAATCGAAATCTTGCCATTTGCAATGACGTGGATGGAACTAGAGGGTATTATGCTAAGAGAAATAAGTCAATCAGAGAAAGACAATTATCATGATCTCACTGATAATGAGGAATTCTTAATCTCAGGAAACAAACTGAGGGTTGCTGGAGTGGTGGGGTGGGAGGGATGGGGTGGCTGGGTGATTGACATTGGGGAGGGTATGTGCTATGGTGAGCGCTGTGAATTGTGTAAGACTGATGAATCACAGACCTGTACCTCTGAAACAAATAATACATTATACGTTAAAAAAAAGAAGATAGTAGGAAGGGAAAAATGAAGGGGGGGAATCGGAGGGGGAGATGAACCATGAGAGACTACGGACTCTGAGAAACAAACTGAGGATTCTAGAGGGGAGGGGGTGGGGGGATGGGTAGCCTGGTGATGGGTATAAAAGAGGGAAAGTATTGAATGGAGCACTGGGTGTTATACACAAACAATGGATCATGGAACACTACATCAAAAACTAATGATGTAATGTATGGTGATTAACATAATAAAATAAAATTTTAAAAAAGTCATATATTTATAGGAAGGAAACAAAAAAAAGCCAAAGAAATCCAGAAAATGGCACAGAGAAAACAAAGGGAGAAAAAAGGTTAAAAGACAGATGAACAGTCCAATGGATGTATCTGATAGGAAGCTCAAGACAGAAAACAGATATTCTAGAGTCCAAGACAACCCCAGAAAAGGACTGGTCACTGTAAAGCAGGATGAAGACACATTTAGATGTACTCCTACTACTTCAGAACACCATAGACAAAAAGATTTCAAAAAGTGGGCAAAGCGCTAAACAACAAAGTTACAGTCCAAATATGAAGCACATTAAAATAGGGGACAATGCAAGGGAGTAGAAGAAAAGAGAATTCATTTTGATTTTGACACATGGATCATTTCTTTGAAAGCAAGAGAAAACAAAACAACACAGTGACATAAATTACATTTCCTTTTCTTGGCATTTGACCATCTTCCTTGTTTCTTTGTTAAAGATGATCATAAAAATATAAATGCCCTTGTTTTTGTTAGATATGACCTACAGATTAAACAAGGAAGACAATGACGACTGGAAGAGAGAAGTAAACCTTGACAATGTAAAATTAACATCATAGCTGAAAGAAGTCTAGCAGTAGAAGGGGGAGAAGTAAAAGCAAGCGCATCGTTTTTAATGTCCTTGGTTCACGGAGAGTGGGTGAGTAAAGAGAGGGAAGACATGAAAGGATGTTATCTAAAGTTATATATAAGAAGTTGTGGGAACTGTGTGGCCTACTACACTGATTTTTAAAAACATTTACATGCATTACCTTAAAACTTTTTTTTTTTGCCACACTCATATTCCAGTTTAATTATATAGCAATTATATAGCATGAGGTTAGAGGCTTAGGGCCTCTCATCCGTCTTCTTTTTACCAACTGAATTAGTATCTCCCCCTGCAAGTGCCGCTTGGCTCCCCAAGGCCTGGGGGTGGCCACCTGGAGCGCATCTGATGAAGCCAGTGGCACATGTATTTTCTCATTCCACAGAGCCATCCAGATGGCTTCCACAGTGACTTTATAAAATTCTGGGTCAATAGGATTTTTGTTGGCATATGATGGGAACCAAGGCTTTAAACCAACTATGGCTTTGAAAGCCCCACAGTTACCAGGCTGGCATTTGTGATCTGTTCCTGGCTTTTTTTTGTAATTTTAATTCCAGGATGATAATATACACTGTTATATTAGTTTCAGGTGTACAATATAGGGATGCAACAATTCGATACATGACTCAGTGCTCATCAGGATGAGCCCCTATTTCACCCATCCCCCCATTCACCTCCCCTATGGTAACCATCTGTTTGTTCCCTATAGTTAAGATAGTTAAGAATCTGTTTTTTGGTTTGTCTCTTTTTCTCTTTGATCATTTGTTTTGTTTCTTAAATTCTACATGAGTGAAATCGTATGGTATTTCTTTCTCTGACTGGCTTATTTCACTGAGCATTATACTCTCTAGATAATTTTTTTTTAAAGACTTATTTATTTATTTGAGAGAGAGAGTGAGAAAGAGCATGAGAGGGGAGAGGGTCAGAGGGAGAAGCAGGCTCCCTGATGAGCTGGGAGCCCGATGTGGGACTAGATCCCAGGACTCCAGGATCATGACCTGAGCCGAAGGCAGTCACTTAACCAACTGAGCCACCCAGGCGCCCCTATACTCTCTAAATCCTCTATGTTGTTGCAAATGGCAAAATCTCATTCATTTTTATGGCTGAGTAACATTCCATTATATTTACATATAAATATATACAGACACCACATCTTCTTTATCCATTCATTTATCAATGGACCCAGGCTGCCACCAATTATTTTATTTTTTATTTTTTTTAAACATTTTTTAAAAAGATTTATTTATTTATTTGAGAGAATGAGATAGAGAGAGAGAGCATGAGAAAGGGGAGGGTTAGAGGGAGAAGCAGACTCCCCGCCGAGCAGGCAGCCTGATGCAGGGCTCAATCCCAGGACTCCAGGATCATGACCTGAGCTGAAGGCAGTCGCCTAACCAACTGAGCCACCCAGGCGCCCCTGCCACCAATTATTTTAAATTCTCAAACTTATTTCACAATGGGAGTTGAATTGTGGCTTCCCAAAAGATATGTCTGGAAAGTTTCTGTTGAACAATGTTAGCTGATAGCCTTATGGGGTTTCCTTTGTATGTAAATGTTTTCTCTCACTGCTTTTAAAATTCCCTCTTTATCACAATTTTTTTTTTTTTACCATTTTAATTACTATGTATCTTGGTGGACCTCCGGTTGATTTTGTCAGGTGCCTTCTGTTCTTCCTATGTCTGTTTCCTTCCCCAGATTTGGTAAGTTTTTGGTTACTATTTCTTCAAGTAAATTTTCTGCCCCCTTTCTCTCTCTTCTCCTTCTGGGATCTCTATAAATGTTATTATGCTTGATGGTGTTACCGAGTTCCCAAAGTCTATTTTCATTTTTTATTATTTTTTCTCTCTCCTGTTCAGCTTTTCATAATCTGCCCTCCAGATCTCTGACCTGTTCTTCTATTCTACTATTTATTCCCTCTAGTGTATTTTTAATTTCAGTTATTGAGTTCTTCATCTCTGCTTGGCTCTTTTTTGTTTTCTCTTTGTTGAGAGTCTCACTGAGGTCGTCCACCCTTTCCTCAAGTCCAACAAATATCTTTATGACCATTACTTTAAATTCTTATCAGGCATACTATTTATCTCCATTTCATTTAGGTCTCTTGCTGTGATTTTGTCCTGTTTTTTTCACTTGGGACATATTCCTCTGTCTCCTCATTTTGACTAACTCTCTGTGTCTGTTTCTGTATTAGGAAAGGCAGCTATGTCTCATGCTCTTGAAAGTAGTGGCCTTATGAAGAAGAGCTCCTATAATGCCCTGCAGTACAACATCTCCTGTTCTTAAGAACTTGGCACTTCAGGGTTGTCTCCTATGTGTGTTGCGTATGCCCTACTATTATGGCTGAGACATGTTCGTCTTCAGTCCAGTACTCTACAATGGTTCTCTTTGCCTGTTGTGGTCCGGGTTTGGTCCCTGTGTTGTTAGTGGGCCAGCCTGGGCCACCCTGGGCTTGAGTTGGGTTGGGCCAGGTGTTTGCCAGAGCTGCAGGAGCACCAAACTGCAGGGCTCTCTCCCTGTATTATCCCTTGAGAAACTTCTATTTGTGGGCAGGGCCTACAGTCAGACCAGATGTCTATCCCCAGCTCACTGCTGGGACCACAGCTGGATTGGTATGAGTGGTTATCTTCCCCTCTCCCCAGGGTAGGAGTCACTTTGGAGTGCTGCTAGCCCATCAGGGCTGCTTGCTCACTTCCATGCTGTGATGCCACTTTGGATGGACTCCTGCAGAACGCAGGGGTGATGTGCACAGTGCCAGGAGGTCCACACCAGCCAGCTGCACAAGGGGAGCTGCAGCCACTGGGAAAACTCCTGCCCTACTTGGAGAGGCTGAGTCCACAGAAAAGCAAGCTAGGTGGAAGGTGGAGAGTGTTGCACTGTCCTGGTTCCCACAGGTGTCCCTGTATCTAGGCTGGGGGTCAGGGAAGGGGAGACAGCACCCACCAGCTCTTTTGTTCTTGAAGAAGTCTCCCAGTACATGCTCTGAAATTAATAAACAAATCTCCCTCCTGTATCCCCCAAGCATTTTTCAAACTGCTGCTTCTATATCTCAGCAGGGCTATTTGTTGTGTTGTCTCTTTAAGGGCAGGGACTCAGTTTCCTCTCACCATCCAGCTCTCCCAGAGCTGAGCCACTGATTTTTAAAGTTTCAGGTGGTAAGCCCAGCTGATTTTAAGAACTCACAAAATGAGGCCCCTCTGGTTTTCAAAGCCAAAGGTTATGGGTATTCACCTTCCCCACCACGCAGTTTCCCTGTGCCTGGGGTGCCTGCTGTGGAGGTCTGCTTCTCTCCCCTCCCCAACAACTGCTGCTGAGTCCCTCCCTCCCACAGTCCCATGGATCCGTCTGGCTCACGACCACATCTCCATCCTTCCTATCCTCTTGGATATGGCCTCTTCTCTACATTTAGCTGTGGAGAGTCTGTTTTGCCAGTCTTCATGTTGCTTTTGGGGTTATTTATGCTGATGTGGGTGTTACCTAGTTGTATCCGTGGGACCAAGTGAGCTTAGGATCCTCCTACTCTGCCATCTTCCCTAGAAGTCTTTAAGATTTCTTTAAATAATAAATGTAAGTAAAATCACTGAATGTTAAAATAACAACTTTGGAATACATTCCTTATACATCTGTATTAGCCTCTCAATTCCTTTGAGGTCACGGACAGGTATCCACCTAACCTGCACTACTTCAAACCCTGCTCCTCCTTCACCACCACCAACCCTCCACCTTCACCCTCAGTGCACATTCAAAACACTGACAGACTGCAATGAGAAGTCTCAGAATGACACAACATGCTAAGGATGCTTTGCTTTAAAAAATTAGAGATCTAGTGTTGTAATGAAAAAAAAATTAGATACCTAGACTTTTCTTATTAAAACAGATAAACAGAAAGAAGAAAATAACAATTACTCCAATCTTATTTCCGAGAGTATATTCTCAACATGTTTTTTTAATGTCATTTCAAAATATTCTCCTGCAACATCATATTTGATGGCTACATAATAATCTGTTGTACCATCCCACTTACACTATTTTCTTCAGCTGTTTAGGCTGTTCCCCATGAAAAAAAACTACACACAATGTGAAAACATACTTTCAGCAAGCTATTTCTTCACATATTGTGACTGTTTTCATCAGATAAACCCCTAGAACTAGGACTGCTTCAACTGCAAGGCCTTTGATATATATTGTAAGGCTTTCACTTTGATGCATTCAAGTATTTCAATGCACTAGCTGAGAAACAATAATTTAATTCTTTGTGGTCATTCCAAGCTAAGCCTCAGAAAAAAAATGAAATTGATTTACTTTAAATGGCAGGAAGAACTTTCACCTAGGGCAGATAGTCATTTTATATATCTACACATTGGTAGAGTAAGACAATAATGTAAGCTAATATTGTACTAACAAAGTTTTACTACAACTTATTCAAAATGAGCTTTAGCAATACCTTACTTTTAAAGAGTCAAGAAAAGGATTTAAATGGCTTCCTTTTTTTTTAAGATTTTTTATTTTTTAAGATTATTATTTTAGAGGGTGGGGAGGGGACAAGGGAGAAGGAGAGAGAGAATCTCAAGCAGACTCCCTGCTGAATATGGAGCCTGACTTGGGGATCGTTCTCATGATCCCGAGATCATGACCTGAGCCAAAACCAAGAGTCAGACGCTTAATCAGCTGCACCACCCAGGTGCCCCTAAATGGCCTCCCTTTCTAAGTTTGATCTCCTAATATCAAGAGATCATCATTCAAATCCAATTAAAATATAAAAGCCTGTTTTCTTGTCTGCTATTTTTACCAGAAAACAAAGAGATTTTGTACAAATAAATGAATTACCCTGGACCTTCTGTTGCACCTATCCTATTGTGAACTGTACAGCTCCTCTGAGGCCCTCATCACCCCCTTCAGTGGTGAAAGTCCTACGGACCTTCTTTGTACACTCTTGTGCGCTAAAACGGCACAAGACCATGCTCAAGAGTCTTAACACAACCCTAAAAAAGAATGAAATCTTGCCATTTGCAACAACATGGAGTTATACGGTATAATGCTAAATGACATAAGCCAATCGGAGAAAGACAAATACCATATGATTTTTCACTCATATGTGGAATTTAAGAAACAAAACAAATGACCAAAGGGGGAAAAAAAAAGAGAAACAAACCATGAAACAGACTCTTACCTATACAGAACAAACTGTTGATTACCAGACAGGACGTGGGTGGGATATGGGTGAAACAGGTGAAGGGGATTAAGAGTACACTTATTGTGAGGAGCACTGAGCAATCACTATATGGTACATCTGAAACTAGTATAACACTTCACGTTATCTTTGCTGGAATTAAAATTTAAAAAAAATAAAATGTAAAAAAAGTCTCAAACATTTCTTCTTTTATAAAATGGAGAGTGTACAGCATAGTGTACAGTTATTATATATGTTGGTCTTAGTCTTTACAGAACCAAAGGAGGTGAAGCTAGGACAGGGCTTGGTAGCAATCCATCTCACTTTTTCTCTAGGTTCTTAGTTTTTTAAAGACCACCTCCTGTTTTAGCCAGATTTCTTGGGTAGCACTCTGACTTTAAAACTACCCATTATTTTATATTCAGGGATGAGTTATGGGACTACAGCCAGATAAAATGGAATAAATTGTTGGGTTAAACACACACACACACACACACACACACACACAAAACCATATGACCTGCAAGAAACAGCTTTTAAAAAAAGAAACCTATAGTAAAATGCCTCATAGATAGTGAGAACATGAAATGCAACATGCCCATTTCTAAGGTATTCTTTATTTTAAAACTTCTAAACAACATTTCTATCATAGCTTATGGAAAGAAAATCATACCGCTTTCTTGGTCTATATCCAGTTCAATGAATCACATAAAAGTGAGAAATGAAATGAACTATTCCTCAGTAGCAAAAGAACATAACACTTGTACTTAAAATCCTTTCTGGAATCTGATATAGAACAAATTTCAAATAAAGACAATTATCATTTCAACACAAACTCAATCAAATAAACCCTTTATTCTATCATTTATCACTGTCTACAGAAAAGACTCAGTATAATAAAGGAATATTATAGATTTACTTGGCAGTATCAAAGATCTAAAATCTGTGTTTTATTTATAGTCTGATTGCTTACTTGATTGACTGCCAGTCCATCGTAACCGTGAGAGGAGAGCTTCGGAGAGCAGTGAACGACCTCCCTCGACATGTGGGCACAGGACACTGCAACAAGATTAATTCACATCCAGATTTTGATAAACTACAATCACATCTCAGGAAAATGCAAGTTAAAATGCTTCATTTAATACTGTTTTAAGTTGGTCCCAGAATGGTGTTGCAGTAAAACGCACTGAGCTTAATGAGTTTCTATTTCCATCTGCATCAATTCTGTATTACAAGCTTTTGAAGCATTTTTCAGCTGGTCCCTCTCGATTACTGCTCTTACTCTTTCAGCCGTGGGTGTGCAAGGCTCCTCATAAGTCTCTCACACTGAGCACATATTCCTTCCTTTGTGCACAGTCTCCTGATCCTTGCATGCCCTCTTGCATCCAATCCCACATATCCAGCCCCAAATCTCCCCTTTTCCAAAGTCTTCCTGGGTCTCCTTTAATCCTCAGCTCTCCTATCTCACTTCCTTTTGCACTGTTTGTGTAATATTTATTGTACCACAGAGACAACCCTCAACAAGCAAGTGAGTTGTGTTCAAGTATTTAAAAGTCCCTTGTTTCCTATTTGGACCTCAAGATGCATTTATAAATTCAGAGATTGTGCCCGACTGTATTTTCCAAATATGGTTGCAACAGTATCTCCCCATGACCCTTTCTAGAACCTTCCCACTTCCTCATCGTCTAATTTCCCTCTCCTGGGATCTGGACAGGCTTATGACTCACTTTGTAACCAACAGAAGTGATGACACCTGATTTCTGAGGCTAGCTCAAAAGAGGAAAGCCATTTTTTTCTGAGAGCTGGACCTGTTTCTTGAAGCTCTCAGCAGCCATGTGAGCAGACTGAGTATCCTGAGCTGCCATACTGTGTACAAGAAGCCAAAACCAGCCCAGAGAGACAGGAGGAGAGATGCCCAGTCAGCCCCCAACCACTCCAGCCTCTTGCTGTTCAGCTCTATTCACCACTTGACTACAACTCCATAAGAGACCTACACGCAGAACTACCTGGCCAAGCAGTTCTTCCAAACTTCGGACTAACAGAAACCATGAGAAATAATTAAATGACTGTTGTTATTTTGAGCCACTAAGTTTTAGGGTGATTTGTTTACAGTAATGACTAAAACACAGATCTCCTGAACAACCATCTTTTTGGTCACTTCAATTCATGGAAGTTCAGACACATGCAGAACCTCTTCACACTAGTGCTCATCTTACAGTCAGCATTACTACCCACTATATTAGAGGGCATGGAAATACCTTGACCAAATACAGTTTAAAGAAAATATCCAGCAAGTCAGGATCAAAATTCTGGCCTCTGAACTAAAGGCAGAGCCTGAACCCTAACCCCAAACAAACAGTAGATGACACTCATTTACCAACACCACTGATTATTCAGAACCAACAGCCAAACTCACACACCCTATTCTTCTTGGAAGAGAAGGGAACCTTACAAATTTCAATTTGTGTAAAAATGTAGTCAGTGTAAAATTTATTCAAGTCCAAGGATGGTAAAGGCAACTCTGGAAAAGAACAGATATGGTAAGTCTCCCTGCCTTATCAAAAATTTTAATGAGATCAGTGTAAATAGAATTGTATAGAGCTAGTACAGGACCAGTGAAATGAAATGGACTCACATGTCTACAGGACAGTGTACCATAGAGGAAACAATACACGTCAGTAGGAATACAGGGCTTAATTAATAAATGGTGACAACTGGCTTTTCACTTAAAAGAATAAATTAGATCCTTAGCTTTAGGCCATTCCCAAGATTAAATTCCTGATGGACAAAAATCTAAATATAAAAACGAAACAAGAGTATTAAAAGAAAATGTAAGAGATATGTTTACAACGCTCAAGTGAAGAAGGCTTTTTAAGCAGGGCATAAAACATAAAAGTCACAAGGGAAAAAAACTGATCAATTTAACCATGTCAAAATGTAAAACTAGAGAACAAAAAATATACCACAAAGTTAAAAGATAAAGCAAATACTGGGAGAAGATATCTGTAATATATATAATCAATGATTAGTATCTAGAATTCATAAAGAACTCCTATCAATAGTACAAACAGAAAAATAAGATTTAAACAGAAAATTCAATAAAGGAAATTGAATGGCCAATAAAGATGTGAAAAGATGTTCAACTACAACAGAAATTGGTATAAATACCATTTATACCAATCAGACTGGCAAAATTTAAAAAGTCTTACAATACCAAGTGTAAATGAGAATACAGGGAAATGGTCATTGTTTAACACTACCAACAGAGGTATAAGCTGGGACCAACACTCTGAAAAGTCGTTTTACAACATCTAATACTTAACAATAAGTATATCCCACAACTGAGAAATTCCTCTGCTAAGGAGACACATGCAAGAATG